ACTGAGATGTTTCAACAATGGTTGCAACACTGGAAGCATCTGCTTATCTGCATCAAGAAAGTTGGAAGACAACTAATTGGCAAACCAACGGAGGGATCCGTATTTGTATCCATTCTACAGAAAGGTGATCCAACGGAATGCAGAAATTATCGAACAATATCATTAATATCACATGTAGGTAAAATTTTACATTGCCAGGGAGAAATTCAGGCTTGATTCAGAAGAGGATGAGGAATCAAGGATCAATCACATGGTTGACGTCATGTGAATCTGGACTGAAAGCAGAGAATACCAAAAAGATGTTTATCTGTGTTTTGTTGACTAGATAAAGGCATTGGACTATGTGAATCATAGCTAACTGTGGATAACATTGCGAAGAATGGAAATTTCAGAACATTTCACTGTGCTTATGTGGAACTGACCAAGAGGCAGTCTATTCAAACAGAAGGAGACAGTTGTTGTTGTTGTTAAGTGCCATCAAGTCAGTTCCGACCCATAGCGACCCGGCACAGGGTTTTTGAGGAGTGGCTGGTAAGCTTGAACCACCTAGCTTGTGGTTCAAACCGACTTTGCAATCCAGCACCACATCAGGACTCCAAGGGGACACTGCATGGTGTCAAATCAGGAAAAGTGTGTGTCAGGGTTGTATATTCATTCTGTATGGTGAGCAAATAATCCGAGACACTAGAAGAATGTGGCATCAGGATTGGAGGAAGATTCATTAGCAACCTTCCAGCCTCAGAAACTCTATATAAATTTGCCGTGAGTTAGAACCGACATGACAGCACTTAACAACAACAAATATAGATGACACAAAGACTTGTGGTACTTTCTGATAAAGATCAATGAGAGCCCAACAAGAGCACAGACATGTAAGCCCTCCAAGGTCCCCAATAGCTGGGGGAGGGGCTCCAGGAGAGGCCAGGGGCCTTGTCCTGACCACCTGTAATCCAGTATGAATCACACCCCAACATAAATGAAACAAAAATCCTCACAATTGGACCAATAAGCAATGTCCTGATAAATGGAGAAAAGATTGAAATTGTCAAGGATTTCCTTTTACTTGGATCCACAATCAATACCTATAGAAGCAGCAGTCAAGAAATCAAAAGACGTATTGCATTAGGAAAATCTCTTTAATGTGTTTAAACAGCAAAGATGCCACTTTTGAGCTTGCATGTGAAAGCTGGACAATGACTAAGGAAGACTGAAGAATTGATACCTTTGAATTATGGTGTTGGCGAAGAATGCACTGTGGACTGCCAGAAGAATGAAGAGATCCGTCTTTGGAAGAGACACAGCCAGAAATGCTCCTTGGAAGGAGGGATGACAAATTCATCTTACATACTTTCAACACATTATCAGGTAGGACCAGTCCCTGAAGAAGGATATCATGGTTGCTAAAGTAGAGGGTCAGCGACAAAAAGGAAGACCCTCAAAGAGATGGAGTGGCTATAACACTGGGCTCAAACGTAGCAGTGATGGTGAGGCTGAGTCAGGCTGGGGCAGGCTTGCATTCTGTTGTATTGTACACAGAGTCTGTATGAATTGGAGCCTACCTAAAAACGACTGTTGTAAGTTCTTGACAAATAATTCTCATAACCACCTTTTTTTTTTTTTTAACGTTTTATTGTGAATTATGTGATAGTTTACATGGGAGAACATTAGTTTTACATTCATTCTATTGTATATCCATTGCCATGGTTACAATCCCCTCCAAGCAATCCTTCCCCCATACCCCCCAGGTCTTCAGCACACAGTCGCTCTCCCTCTCTGGATCTAGAGTCTCCAGCCTCTCCATCGCTCCACGTCATCATCTCTGCCTCCATTTCAGGCATCACTGCTTCTCTGGGTAGGGTCCTGCTCTTTGCTCTTCTCCCTTGATGGTCCTAGGGACCTCCGCTCCTAGACTGAAAAGTTAATCACTTCCCTCCTTGCTATAAAACATCTACCTTTACATTTCCGA